GGCAAGGATGAAACTTTCTAATGCACATGCATGTGTCGAGTGCCTGTGTTCGTGCACACTATCAAATGGAGTATAATGTGAAAAACTGTGCATTTGGTTGAACACAGTCAGGCTGCAAGAAAATGTGGCCCAAATCCAATTGGTCCTAAATCTGATAAAATTCTAAATAATAATAATAATAAAAAAATTATATTTCTTTCACTTTATCTATGCTCTTATTTTCCCTTAATATCTTCCTGTCCTAGCTTTTATTGTTTTTGAATGATGACTGAAAATTTGTATAACGGGCACTTCACATGTTTACTACCATCTTATGATGAATCGCTTGTTGTTTTCCTCAACTGTAAGTCGCTTTGGATAAAAGCATCTGCCAAATGAATGTAAATGTAAGATACAGGTCAAATGTTTTGCAATGTTTTGCAAAATCATTCTGAACAGTCATATCAAAATTCATGCAACTTTTATCTCACCCTAGATCGACATTAATCATAATTCTCTGCTGACTGGATACACTCCAACAACTTTTTAAAGCTCACAAGAAACTTAATTTATGCTCACAGTTGATTCCAGTAGAATTTGACATTAGCATGTTGCTAAGCTAACAGCACAAAAATATCACACTAATATGGTGAAAATGCATTTTAACAGAACTCTTTCCCCACCAGTATTTTTTTTTAAAGTTGCCAGCCACCTCCAGCATATTCGATCATTTTTACAAAATTGTCATGGCCCCCAGAATTTTATTCTCCCTTCATATATTATTTTATTAATCATATCATACATTTCATAAGAAAAGCAACATGAGAAACATTTGAACAAAAAGCTGAGAATTTTTTATTTATTTTTTTTGTCAAAGACTACATCTGGATGGGATTCAGATCGATGATTAAAACATAGATGGAGTAGATTGCTTCCATCAAAACCCCCAAAGCTTGCACAGTCCTAAACTACTTCCTGAGTCATCATTTAATTCTGTAACATTAGGTAGTTTTGATTTATATGCCGTTTAATGTTTGATGATTGCTTTATTTTACATCTGCTTATATACGCGTTTGCTTGTTTCTGATTCTTCTTCGCTGTGTTTTGATCCAAAGATTTGGTACTCTTTCATAAAATGTGTAATAGCACCTCCTACCGTATAACAGTGAAAACACGGAAAGTGGGAAAAATTCTGTCAATGGTGGGGAAAGAGTTAATTGAACATTTTTCTATATAAATTATGCTGTGCAGTATGGAGTCCCACAAGGCTCAGTATGAGGACCGCTGCTTTTCAGGCTTTACATGAACCCTTGGGAGATATCATCAGGAAACATGGTGTTAGCTTTCACTGTTATGCTGATGATCCTCAGCTCTATATTTCTTCACGGACCAGCAAAACATACCAATTCGTAAAACTAACTTCTAATTCGTAGAATGCATAGTTGATATAAAAAAACTGGATGACTAGTAATTTCCTACTGCTAAATTCTGGAAAAAAAAAGATGTTTAAATTATTGGACCAAAAACCTCAGCATGCAATAACCTAGAACTGTCTAACACTTGTTGGCTGTGCTGTCAATTATTTGTCATCAGTTAGGAACCTAGGTGTGCTGTTTGATAGCAATCTTTCCTTTGAAAAACATGTTTCTAGTATTTGTAAAACCACATTTTTCCATCTTAAAAATATATCTAAATTACGACCTATGCTCTCAATGTCAAACGCAGAAACGTTAATTAATGCGTTCATGACCTCAAGGTTAGATTATTGTAATGCTTTATTGGGTGGTTGCACACTCCAGCTGAACTGACTTTAATTGAAAAATAGACTACTTACTATTGTCCTCTTGCATTATCGATACACTATTTTCCTGTTTAACATTGTAAAGTTACTTTGACAATCTGTATTTATGTATTATCTGCATTATATAAATAAAGGTGACTTGACATGATATATAAACTATATTTTATAAATGCCTATGCTAACATGAAATAAATACATGTAAGGTTCATGCAATGAAGATACTAAAATAGTTAAAAGAGATAATTTGTGGCAAAATTACCATAGTTATATTTGAGAACAACAGGAGACATGCAAAGGCTTTTATCCCTGCAAGTACTGGATTGAATACATCCAGAAATATTACATCATCTCCTCTAGAGCTGTCCTTTAATGTTTATCAAAGGCCGCCAAGAGCCATTTGTCATCCATATTGTCTTAATATGGTCTTAATAAAATCATGACGTCTTCTTTCCTGGCCTCATTTACACAAATAACTATTTTCAGAGTCTGAGGATGATAATATAAGCATGAATATTGAAAAACAGTTAATATTTCATGGACCTAACAGCGGTATCTATGCAATATTTGGAGTGGTTGAGCAATAGTAAAGCTTACCTTAGCAAACGCCACTAATAATTACATTCCATACTTTATAAAGTGTCTTATATTGATAGTCAGTAGTCTATTTTTAGATTTTTGCATCTTTTCTAAATCAAAGGTGCTGTCTCAGCTTGATGGCCGTGTAAACTTTCCATGTTACGTGTGACACATTTCTAATTTAAGCTTACCAAAAATCACTAAATGTGATACAAGGAGGTCTTAAGCTTTAAAAGTGACAGACGCTTCAGCGCAAGCAGCCACATAATCAAAGATTTGCAGAAGTGGTGAAATTTCCCCAAATCCTGACTGAAATAAATTTGAGCTTCTTTTAACTGCTGACATATTTGGATCAAGCAGCTTAGTAAGAAGTGAGAGGGGGAAAAAAGATAAGCTTCACACAGAAAACTGCCTCCTGTGAGGATTTCTACAGAACTTCGCTGTGACAGTCGCTATTAACCAAAAGTAATTATTATAGGGAGTGACAAAAAAGTTGGCTATGGGATGCAAACAATGTCTTGTGTTTTCTTGGGTTTGATCTCTAGATGCCGGTTAAAGCACATGCCTTTGGCAACCAGCAACTCCTTTGTGCATCATGACATCATTTGATTGACAGCAGGAGATTCCTGTCGGACCAGTGCATAGCAGCTGCACAAACGGTTAGCATTACATCTTTAATGTTTTTCCTCAGAAGTCGTGCAGATAAGGATGGGCGTTTTGAGTAATTTTTACTATCTATAATGTTTATTTATATATTTATAATATTTAAAGGGGTCATATGATGCAATTTCAAGTTTTCCTTTCTCTTTGGAGAGTTACAAGCTGTTCGTGAATAGATAAGATCCCTAAAGCTGCAAAGACTAAAGTCTCAAACCCAAAAAGATATTCTTTATAAAAGTTAAGACTCGTCCACGCCTACCTAAAACGCCTCGTTTAAACATGCTCCACATGTCTACCTCACTGTGTGGGGAGATTTGCATAACGTCGCCCAAATGTTCACGCAAAGAAAGAAGGCGTAACTTTATTGTTGCTGTAGTATTGTTGTTGCCGCTGTAGACGCTGTGTGTTTCGTTGTGAAAGCAAAACTACTTTGATTGGCCTTCCAAAAGAGGACACAACTAGAAATCAGTGGTTAAGTTGTATTTACAACACTGTTCCAGAACACTTCAACCCAAATATTCAGATGTGTCCAGCGCATTTTATGGAGGACTGTTTCCTGAACCCGAGAGAGCTGTTTCTACAAAGTGGGGCAATTCCAACTTTGCAAGGACAGTCTGGCGCTTCCGACACGTTTCAGAAAGGCGGGGCATTGAGGAGAAACAATAATGTACAGTATGTGGAAAATAATGTTTTTTTTTTTTTACTTTAAAACGCATAAACACATTTCATTACACCAAATAATGTTCTTTTTAGCAGCATCATATATCTAAATACCTTTAAAGTATCTAAATCTAAATATAAACAATATATATTACTACAATATATTGTTTAAGATATACAATAATACCTTACATCTTATAATTTTATATTATAATATTTTAACAATACTATATAATGTGTGTGTCTGTGTTAAATACACAATAAATAGTTTAAAATATACATTATTGTTAATACATAATGAATAATATATATTAGACAATATTTATAAAATATTTACTATAATTACTGCAGTATCCACGGTTAAGTATTTTGACTAAATATTATTTTACATAATACTTTTTTTTATATAATACTCAAACGCAATATACATACATATTATAAATAACAATTAAGACATGTACATTAAATTCTGCTGTCTATTATTATTATTAATTATTATTATTAACGTTACATCAAATGGTTTAAAAAACTATTAAAACACATTTTTTAAGAACATTTTCTACTAATTCAATTATCAATATGCATTAATAAAAGCATTTAAAAAGGACACAAGTCACATTTAAAAAGTTATTGAAAATAATTACAAATTAAACTATATATTAAAAATAATTAAAACATGTACATAAAATGTTATATTATTATTATTATTTAATGTTACATCACAAATAATTGTTTCAAAATAGCTAGCTTTATTAACCTAATAAAAAACTTATTCTTTATTAATATTATCAATAATAATTACTACTAATTCAGTAACCAATATTAATAATAAATAAAATGTAGTAAAGCATGAAATAAAAGCACAAGAAAGTTCACAACAGTGGTAATGGAGAGATTCAGGTGAGTTTCGCTGTATTTCGTTGGTGTCTACGGCAAGGAACGGTGCAAAGAAAAATCAATTTGCAAACCTTGAAGAGTGGTTTAACTAGACAACTACATGGTGCAAAACAAGTAGTGGAGCAGTTGAGTGTGTGCATTCCTCAAATGTCTGTCAGCGAACAACATAAATCATCAAGGCCTCTGATTCATTTACACGGAAAAGAAAACAGTCAGACAAGACAGAGCCATGAGGGAAATTAAAGAGACAGACAGAAACATGTAAAGTAAATGTGAGGGAACGACAGAAAGAGCAGGAGAGTGTTTGAGACTGGGTGATGTAAGAATCGCCCTCTGCTGGTGTAAACCAGGACCAACACGCTCCCGTCTCTCTCCAGCAGATCAGAGCTCAAGTCTGTGGAGTTTTCTAGCGTGAGTCTGTCTGTACCTGTCAGCAGAGACACCCGGTGGAAGCTGCCGTCCAGCTTGCTCAGGAGGATGTTGACGAAGCTGTCTTTGGAAAGCTGACCGGCGTCTTTCGTGCTCTGATCGTACACCACCACCTCCTGCCTGCGGCCCAGGTCCACCTTCAGAGCACAGACACACACAGGTACACATCAGTCAGATGTCACAGGTACACGTCACAGCAGAGGAAACAGTACGCTGAGTGCAAACAGACTTCTGACTATCCTCACAATACAGCAAAGCTGCTATGATGACATATACTGTAGCAAACATGTCGTACCAAAAATGAGCAAAAATAATATTTAGTAATAAACATATTAGTTATATATATATATATATATATATATATATATATATATATATATATATGGTAGCCCTTCGGGCAGGTACTCTTCAAGTTTTGGTAGCCCGAAAATTAATTTAACTAGCCCAATTAAAAAAAATACCTTACTCTAATGTAATACCCTAAATGTAAGGCAATGTATGACCCATTTTAAGAGCTGCAGAAGTAAAATGAACAAAGTGTGAGTGGGGTTGTATGTCTGTGGTAACATACAGTATTGAGCCAAAAAATTACATGATTTACAATTCAGATACAGGTTTTCACAAAAACAAAAATCCTATACAGCCTTTCAGCCTTCAGACCATTTTTATGAAAAGGGATAAATCAAGCATATAAATTGTTATGTTATGTTATATTATATTTGTTAATGTTCCTGTGGCTCAGTGGTAGAGCATTGCGTTAGCAGCGCAAAGGTCATGGGCTCAATTCCCAGGGAACACACATACTGATAAAAAAATGTATAGCCTGATTGCACTGTAAGTCACTTTGGATAAACGCGTCTGCTAAATGCATAAATTTAATTTAATTTGAATTTAAAACGTATAAATATTACGGTCTTAATTGTTTAGATTTTTAGAGGGCACATCAACTTCTTTCTCATTTACAACTCTGTGTTTGCTGTGTAAAATCATGAGTTGATATTTGCATTGATCTGATCATAAACAGCAAGAAAGGCTTATTGGAAATGCAAATTCATTCTCTGCCACGAGGTGGTGCTTTAGGAGCGCTGAAATATTGCGGTTTACCGGGTAACGGCTGTACACAAAGCAGCTCCGCGCTCATAAACGCTGCTTTATCAGGAATTATAGGTCAAATGAAATTAAAATGCCAACGACATGTTTCTGAGGACAGTCGGTTGCCTTCAGATACATTCAAATAAAGACATCCTCGCCGCATTTTGACTTGAAACATGCAGCGCTCATATTTATTCAATTACATCATTGCCTTTTGAAGTTTAATCCAGCCATATGGCGACTCTTGTCTTTCCGTCCCCAACTGTAAGACCTCTTGAAATTATAATTAAGACATTTCTTATACCATTTAACGTATTTAAAACTTTTTATGGCCTAAAGTTTGATACAACTCACTCAAGAGTGGTGATACATTTTGGTAGCCCAACTGGAAAACACAATAGCCGCGGGACTTCGGGCTAGCGATTTTGCGAGCCCTGAATATTATATATGGAATGCATCGGTTTGTTTACATAATATATTTTATAATATATTAAATAATTATTGCTATATAACTAATACTTGTGTGTACACACACACATTAATAATTAATAATATTTGAATAATACATATTTGCATATTATATTGGTAAGGTTGATGGACTGTGGAATTGACAATATATTGTATAGTTTAATAATATAATAAATATGAATTGAACATTAATATGCTTATAAAAATAATATATTATGAAAATATTATACTCAAAAACAAGATAGATGGATTGAGGAACTGACACAAGGGGGAGACAACATTTTGGCCATGCGTGTGTGATTATCGACCGATTAATCAATCTGTCTGGTATATCAATCAATTGCTGTTCTCTTACACAGATTATTATAATGCATTTTAAAAAACGCATACGTTTTTTAATATGCATTAGATTTTTAATAACGTCATGCATTAGAGTGTGAAACAGACAAACATGCGAGAATCGAGAGCAAAGGTGTGGAATCTTCTCCAAATGCTAACCTTTTGCAGAAAAACATGTCTTTTGCACATAAAGTGGAGACTGTGAGGCTTTAGCGCGCGCACCAGTGCATAAGACCTGAATCTGAGTGTGTGTGTGTATATGCGTTTGCCATGCAGCGGGAGCGTGAAGCGGTGTGTGTCTGTGTGTGTGCTGCACGCGAGCCCCACTGTCTCAATGTTGTCAGGCAGTTTTTAATCACATGACCATCAGCCAGAGCCGCTGCAGAATGACTCACTACAATACTGGAGCACTACTGGAGAAAACAGACAGAGAGGAGAGGAGGGGAGGAGAAACCAGGCCAGTGACAGAGGACGAAGATGAGGAAAGATGGAGGGATAAAAAAAAGGGATGAGAAGAGGACAGTCACACAATATTGGCGATTAACAGGAATGTATGGGAGTGTAGCAACAACTGAGTTGGTTATATGGACCCAGTCGTCTAGCCATCACAATTTAGCCCTTGTCAAACTCGCTCAAATCCTTACGTTTGCCCATTTTTCCTGCTTTGAGGACAAAATGTTCATATATCACACCCACTAACAGGTGCCGTGATGAAGAGATAATCAGTGTTATTCACTTCACCTGTCAGTGGTCATAATCTTATGCCTGATCAGTGTATATATATATATGTGAGCCTGGACCACAAAACCAGTCATAAGGGTCAATTTGTTTTAATTGAGATTACTGATAATATGAAAGCTGAATAAATAAGCTTTCCATTGATGTATGGTTTGTTAGGAAATGACAATATTTGGCTGAGACACAACTATTTGAAAATCTGGAATCGGAGGGTGTAAAAAAAATCTAAATATTGAGAAAATCGCCTTTAAAGTTGTCCAAATTAAGTCCTTAGCAATGCATATTACTAATGATAATAATTTTGTTATATATTTACGGTAGAAAATTTACAAAATATCTTCATGTAACATGATCTTTACTTAATATCCTAATAATTTTTGGCATAAAAGAAAAATCAATAATTTTGACCCATACAATGTATTGTTGGCTATTGCTACAAATATACCCCAGCGACTTAAGACTGGTTTTGTGCTCCAGGGTCACACACACACACACACACATACATTCAGACTTGTTTATTACATTTTTGGTTGCCAAAATTTGTGCATCACTAATAACAATGTCTGATTTGTGAATGAATCATTCTTTTGAGCCAGATTTTTAAAATTAATCAGTTACACAGAATCTGATCAATTTGAATAAGTTTTTTTTTTTAATGATTCAGTTGATTCAGAGCTAAAAAAAAATGGCAGAATTTTCATTTTTGGGTGAATATGATGACGTCACTCAATTTCTGATGAGCTGCTAACTTTAAATGCTTGACCTCTTTAAAATCAGTTGGATTCTGATTGGTTCTCAATGGTTTTATCATTCATCAGCTGGAAAAAATAAATCATTCTGAAAGTGATTCCAATGACATGGTTCCTCTGTGACGTTATCAGTATAGTTGTGGTGTGGACTTATTCTCACAAAATTACAATGATTATTAACCCTTTATAGTCAAAGTTGTCATTATAGTTATCATCCTTGGTGCGAAGGGACCTTTAGCCACTAAAAAACACCAGTTGTCCATTACATAGTAAGAAAACACCACCTTTAAATAAAAAAGGTCAAATCTTACCTAACCTGGCCTTTATTCTAAACAGCACTGACCTGATTTCAAATCCACATCAATGGATTTCAGTCAGTTCTATCTACAGTATGACAATGTCATATCCCCTTTCATTCAAGTAAAGCTGAGCTTTGGACTTCACAACACATTATATTGATAATTTAATTTAGAAACAGCACTACACAGCCTTGCAAACACAGGGTGTATCTAAACGCAAGTAAGAAAGTGAGAAGGTGTACGTGTGAGAAACCAAAGGTCTGTGTGTGTAACAGTACGACACCCTCAGCTTGGCAGGGCGCCTGAAAGGTGATGTCACCTGCTAAAGGTCGGCTGCGGTGGAAGATTACCATGTTTCCCTGCCAGGCCAGCTCCACTGACTGCGAAAGTTAAATAATAGCACCTCAGTCCTGGTTTTAAAGCACCTGGAGAACGTTTACACCTATCGTGCGATTATGCAAGTGAAGCTTAGCTGTTAGATAAGGTATTAAACTGAGGCTATTGATTGACAGGATAGTGAGAAACTAGGCCTCCCTGCTCATCGCCCTGGCCGTCTCCCGCAGGCTCCTCCCCTTCTGTACAAGGTGTTCCGCCTTAATTGGATGAAGGCTAAATCTAGACGGTGACATCATCACCTGAGGATTATGGGCTCTCATGAAGGCATGCTGAAGCCTGGGTCACCTACAGGGCAAACACGAATGCTGCCACATTCACACCCACGACTGCGTTGTCAACTGGTTTTTACTAATAAGCCTTAGTCAACATCAAAATTACAGGCATATTATTACTACAATGCTTCTCTCCCCCCCCCCCCCCCCCCCTTTTTTTTTTTTTTTTTT